AAGATAATTGCTCATAAAGATCCTTTTATTCATTTCCTTAGAAGTCATCTGGGCGTGGAGAATTGCTGATCTCTCTCTGTTACCAATCTACAACAAACACTCTGACCGTGGTTGTTTTAAAAGCCTGACACCTACCCAAATCTGATGTCTCAGGATTATCAGGTATTGTCTTTACAAATGAATATACCATAGGGAAGGCAGCAGAAGAAAGCATGAGGGGGAGAGGAACCTTGTTCATTGAGTTTCAGTGCATTAAATTCATTCCAGTGCAGAGGGCCAGCTCAGAGCCTGGGCATCACCTTACCACTCATTTCATCCCTATTTTGCTATCATAAATGGGATTAAATTGGTGCCTTGTTCTTTGGCTCCCTGCACCCAGCTAAATTGTACCCCAGGGAAACCTGGAGCAAGGCTATGCCACCGTTTCAGGAACAACTGGCACAGGTGCAAATGCCTTGCCTGTGCCAGTCTGGCTTTCTTATCTGCATATTCTCCTTAAGCAGGGAATTGCTCACACATCTGACTGAGGAAAGGGGCACAGGGCTTCAAAGCACAGCCTTTTACCTGCGTGAACTGCTTCCATGTAATGCTAGAGCTCTTAAGTGTAACTGGGGGGGATTTAGGGAGAGAGTAACCCTGAGCAGGGCCCAGCACAGGGCTTGCACAATGCTTGTAGCCCCTGCTTGCCCTCAGCACAGAACTGTCATCACATACACATCCCCTTCCCATGGCTATTTTCTTTTCCAGTGTCCCCACATTCTCTGGGTAGCAGCGTCAGGTGGCGGAGGGGCTGGCTGGGGCACGAGGTGCTAAAGTGCAGGATTAGGCGGCAGGGAGCCCTCACACTTTAGCACCCTTGTGCCCCAGCCAGCCCCCATCACTGTCTACACATGCATTTCAGCACATGTAATTACCCTGCTGTTGGCTAGTACTGCCCCCAAGTATCCTATGCTGGAGTTAATTAATTTATTGCTCCCCATTACCAGTGCACGTGCAGACAGTGACACTTTACTGCAGAGCTAATTAGTCAACTCTTCAGTAAAGTGCACATGCAGATGCACCCAGTACTAGCAAAGTTAAAACTAGAGCCCTTAAACACAGCAAAGGCTTTACATACTCATAGGTCAACTTGGGGGCCCAGCTACTTAGTGGTATCTGTTGCACTAGTTTATGCTGTTGCAGTGCAATAGTTAAAAATTCCTTGGTTGTAGTTTGACCTCATCTGGCTTTTCTGGAGGGGACCAACCTCTATTACAGCCCTGTAAAGTCTGGAAGCTGGGCTCTGCTCTTGGATACACCAGTTTAACCCCATGCACTCCCAATAAGGACTTGATCCAAGGGGCTTGTCAGGATGACCAGCCCCAGCACCTTAAAGCAGACAGGATTGAGCCTCTCCTTTAATCATTATACAAGCTTGTCCACTCCCTGATGGGGGCCCTTCCCCATACCACCTATTATCCTTCCTGACCACGGCTGCTGCTAATTCAAACCCATCACTCTTCCTAGTGTCTCCCAGCTCCCCAGCTCCAGTTAACATAGGTATCAAGGAGCTTCAGCAGCAGCTCAGTAGTTAAGGCTGCAGCTTGGGTTTCTGCCAACTTCCTAAATCTGTTTCCTTTTTTTCTCAGGATTTTGCCAAGCAAGCCTCTGAGTCCTCTCTGTCTCACCTCACTGGTGGTTGAGTGGCAAGAGGAGATGGTGGAGCCCCGGCACTGCAGAGAGCTGCAGCACAGAGAGGTGTGCTCAGTGGGGAGCAGTGTGGGGGACCCCCAGAGAGGGAGATGGAATTGGCAATCTTCTACTTACAACACCTGAATTTGGGGGCTAAACCTGCATTGGGCAGAGGTCTACTATTGCTGGCAGTATGTAATTGTAGCGCAACTTAGAGGCCCTCATTGTGCTTAACTGAACCCATTTCAGGCCCGCAACTTAACCACAAGGACATCCTCCTTTCCAGTGTGGGTACTGCTGAGATGCTATTGTGCTAGCTGCTGTCCAGGCCAAAACTGTGCCCCTTCTTTTCTGACTCTTTTGCTAAATGCCAAGACAAAATAAAAAGCACTATCCACTGAGGCCCTCTCTAGTTTTCAGCATGAGCAAGCAGTTCAGTGCAGCAGCCCTCCTCTCAGTCTAAGATCTCTCTTCTGGCTATGACAGGGAGGAGGCAATATGTGAAGAGAAACAGGGATCCTTAATTCTTGTTAACACATAGCAATCCATTTAGGAGACAAGTTAATCTTGCAGCCGAAACTACACTGACTGCTATGTTCCAGATATCATCCATAAGCCTCCTTGGCTACTGTGGAGATGACACCTAGTCCTCCATCCAGTGCAACCAAAGCAATGGGCTAAGAGATAGAAATGACTAAGGAACTGATCTAGCGTGTATGAGACTAATCTATCCATTGGAGCTTTTCCTGGTACCTAAATTCCTTCCTCTCAGGACCAGGACCTCTGTCTTCATGTTATTCCAAGGGGGCACATCCATGGGATCATTATGGATGCATGGCCATGCAGGGATCGGCCCACCAACCTCAACTCTTTCCAGGATTCGGGCCACAGTGTGTATCACTCAATGCTGTTTCCAATAGGTTTCTGATCCATTCCTTTACATTTTTCTGACACTAAACTTTCCCCTAGGGAACTATATTGCTTGGAAGAAATGGGAAGAGAAAGTAGATGGGAGCAGGCCAGGAGGGAGAGGTTGGAAGGGGGACACCTGCAATGTGTGGGAAGGGCAGCAGGGAATATGAAAGGGAAACCGAATGGTTCGCCCTGTCTCCTGAGACAGGAGGCCAATTTTCATTCATGCCATTGTGTGAGTTTTTCAGGGGTCATAAATAAAACAGCAACAATGAACACAACCTGGTTAGGTCCTAGGGGACAATACAGTAGCTGCATTGATAGAAAAGAACACGGCCTTCAATAAAAAGTGACCCAAACACTTGAAATCATGCAGGTATCAAATTTACTCCCAATTAGTCACCACAGTAATGCATGTACTGTGCACAGTACTGCACAGTAACACTGTGGGTGTGGACTGACTTGGGACTAACTTTAGTCCCAGGTCAGTCCACACTCAGTACTAATACACTTTAACGCCTGCATGTGTAGATGCCTGCCTATTCCCGCTTACTGCGAAGTAACTCACTGTGCACTGAATTTAAGCCAGTGTAAATGCACGTGTAGACACACCCAACCTGCATTAGAATTAGGGCCACATCTAGATTGTGTGTTATTATAAAGAAGTGATAGCCCTTGAACCTAAGGGTGCTCAGCTCCCAATGGAAACTGGGCATCTAAGTCTCAGAGGCATCTTTGCTAATCGCAGACTCACACCTCAATAATAATGGTACTTTTTCACCCATAAACTTCAAAGCTTTGCACAGATTAAACTCAATATCATTACCCCTGTGTTGTTCTTATTTTTATTCCAAGGGTGTCCAGAGGCTGCATCTAAGATAGGGCTCCCACTCTGCTACCTAGACTGTTCCCCAAAGAACAAACTTAGAGGGCAGACAATTCGGACAGAGGGGTGGGGAGATAGGGCTGCTCAAGAGTTTTCCAATCTCCATTAGAAAATTCTGTTTCTTCAAATCAAATCTTATTGCAGAAGTAAGGGTGGGGGGAAATGAAATGCAGCATTTCCCTAACATGAAAATGTTCTGTTTTAACCTGATTGGAATAGATGGCTACTATTTTCTTTCAACTCCAAAATGTCTTTTCATTTTGAGATTGTAGTTGATGTAAGCAATTATACAATTAAAAGAGGTGCAAGAAGGACACCATTTTTCAATGTTACCAAAACAAAGCACCTGACTGGCCTCAAGTGATTTGTGACGCAAACTTTATTTCCTAGGACACTGCCATTTTCCTCTTGTTCTGATATGAAACAAAACCATGTTTAGAAAAGTTGGAGTTTCCCAGAGGTCAGAAGCTCTATGTTTTGGCCTTCTCTAGCAGAAATACAGTGGAGAAGTGAATCACCCATAGTTTTATAGCAAACCCGGGGCAGACCCGGGATTTAAATACGCACCTGGATCCCAGTGCATGGACCTCTGGAGCATGCCACGATGCACAAATAGATGTTTCAAAGTAGTTGCTAGTTCTGGTGGCTGTTTCTAATAGCTGGCTACATGTCTTGTTGGAGTAGTGTCCCCACTGTTTTCATGAGGTAGTGTCTTAGAAGATACTCCAAATGCAACCAAAGATGCACAAAATATTGTCAAACCTAAATTACGATAATTTCATAATTCAGACCTGTACATCCTACAGTCATACAATTTTATCTGACTCCCCACCTCATTTCTGACAGACCCACCCTAGACCTGCTCGACACACACGTTTCTAGAGAGCATTTACCACACAGCCCAAAGTATAATGTTTTGCAGAAGCATTTTGGAGTACCCAAACTTATTCTTTTTTGCCTTGTTTTCATAAAAAGTTGCAAATCCTACATTTTATTCTCAAATCCATCAGGAGGGTTTATAAAATGGTACTTAATAAAATCCAGACTTAAATGTGACTGGAAAAAAAACAGGTAATTTGTATGTGTAGATTGATTATCTTCTTGCCATCATTATTATATTAATATAATATATATATATATATTCTTATCATTATAGATTCAGGTCTCATCTCCCTATTCTGAGATCATCAGTGATGGAGATTGAATGGGCTGAGGTGTTATATACAGAGCCAGAAGAGGGGGATGCTTTCAGATCTCATCAACAGGGAAGCAAGGAGAGCGGAGGACTTCAGATATTGCAGTGTTACTGTGACACTCCCAAGACAAGGGAGAGTTTATTTACTTTCCCCATCGACATGAAAACGGTCATCCAAATCTTATGCTTCTTCCTCTTAATAACTTTTTACAAATGCGCAGTCATTACTGGGGTAAGTCTCTAACTTTCTTGCTTATATGAGCACGCTTGCAACTTTGTGTTCATTTTGAGAGGGCATAAAATTGCAGGGGACTAAAGATCAGGGAATCTACCAGTGGTTAAATATCTATTTCAATTGTGCAGGAATAAAGGTCCTCCTGACAGTTCAGATAAGAAGACTTCCAGCAACTATTATACTCTGCTTTTTTTCAATTTTCAGAGCACTGATAACTCAACATCCTTGCAAGTTTTATTAACTAACTCAAGTTTCTTCCAACGTGGAGAGGCGATAAAAAATAATCAAGCCTCAAAGAGAAATGCTTGCATGATTTTAATTTCTCATTTTAATTCTTGCTTTGGAAAATACTTCACTTTCTGCCAGCAGTCTGTGCTGCTCCATGCATCTGAAAGTGAAACTGCCCTCATTGATTGTAAGAACTGATTAGTTTATGTAGGTTTATAAATAATGCTGACTTTTTTTTACTGCTACATGAGTATTTTTTCAATTAAGCTTATCTAAATTGTTTCCAAAGTGAGGTTGGTCTAGGTCATTAATTCTCAACCAGGGTGCCGTGGCACTCTGCAGTGCCTTGAGATCCTTTCAAGGGTGCCATGGGGTGCTACACAACGTTAGCACCGTTAGGTGTGCAAACATGATTCATAAACCCAATTTTCAAATAGGAATCCATAGTGTTAAAAATATTCTGCCCTGCTGTGCTCTTTTTGAGCTCTCTGCAACAGAAAAATTGCTCTATTGTTTTTCTGTAGTTAAGAAATGAGTGAAAGCTAAGAGCTGGCAATTTATGAGGGGTGCCTTGAGTCTAAAAAGGTTGAGAACTGCTGGTTTAAGTAGGTAATCTATACCAATTACACACTTTTATAAATGACCCTAGTTGCTAGATTTTCATGAAGAGGCTGTGTTATTATCTATGCGCTATAAAGCCACAGAGCCAAACACATGAAGGTAAAATCAGTCTGGGGAATTCAGCATGTCTTTTTTTCTTAAACACACTGTGCCACAACTTCTATTTAAATGGCGAAAATAGGGAGGAAGTGTCAAATAGTTTCCAGGCTGGGAAGAATCGCTGTATCAAACCACATCAACACAAAAGTCAGGGTGTGCTTTAGCTATTTTGGGGGCTGATTGCAGGAAGTACTGAGCCCCCCAAGCCCCTGCTGACTTGATGAGGCATCAACACATCTTCTGGGGCAGCGCTCTTTTATTTGCAGAAGGGTGGATAATCAGCTCCTCTGTGGATAAAGTTGTAGCTCCACTGAAGTCAGTGATTTCATGACACTTTAGACTGCCTGGGAATCGGCTACAGGATCCAAACAGATATCAATCTTTTTTTTGGGTGGGTTGCGGGGAAGGATGGGGTCATTCCTACACTAATACACTAGAGAGATTTACAATGAAGAATCAGATCAGAACTTGAAAAGAAAAAGAGAAAGCAAAAAAAAGGGGAATCGGTGTCCTCTAGTGACTTTAACTCTTTATTTGCAATGGATGTTTAGACATTCTGCTCATCTGAGACATTTTTAAATTGCTGTTGGGTTAAACAGAAGGCAGGGCAGTAGAGACCAACTCCAAACAGGCAAAAGCTTTCATAGGCAACAGCCTACTTTATCAGATGCAGGCTATCACCTATAAAAGCTTATGTCTCTCTGAAGGGGAGGTGACACCTCTAAGGTATCTCTGAAGTGCCACTGTGTCCTGCTATCTGCCCGATTTCAGACTAGCACGTTTAACTACCTCTCTCTCCTGTAGGGTTAAAGTGAACAGTGATTAGTATGCAGGGCAGCCAGTATTATGTCGAAGTACAGCAGAGTAATGAGTCTTGAACCTCTTTTAAAACTTTTATATTAACTTGCTGCTTCACTTGTGTTTGGTCTTGGACGCAGTGTGGGTGCCCAGAATTGAGGCTGTGATTAAAATATGAAGAAGGACATTCACTCTCTCAGGCAAGAAAGAAAAAGTCAGAATTTTCCCTGCAAATAAATTTATAGTATAGGATCTTTATGACGAAGAAATTGGGCAAAAAAGAGACTACTCCATCCTAAGGAAAGAATGTACAGTACTCCCCCCCCCCCCCCCCCCCCCCCCCCCCCCCCCCCCCCCCCCCCCCCCCCCCCCCCCCCCACACACGTATTTTGTGGTTGCTTTTTGGTGAGCCTGTCCTATTCTGATGGTGGGAATTTTACCACTGGTTTTAAATAGGGTCAAGATCTTCTCAAAAGCATTATGTATTTGCACACTACTGATCGATTCTACTGAAAAAAATAGAAGCTCCTCAGTCTCTCTCCGAGACATGCATGCAGCAAGTAGTAAATACCCCAGAAGTGGCTGCAATGCCATTCTGTTGGCTTCCCTGTTGTATTCTTCCTTTTAAAATCCAGTGGCTACTTTTGATTTAATAAAGCACATACAATGAACGCCTTTCACTTCAACTCATCCGGTCCTAAATGGTACATTTCATTAAAAAAAACCCCACCTACCATTACAGTACCCTCAAAATCCGGGAAGACTGTTTCTCTGGTGCGCAACAGGAGTCTGGTTGACCAGATTGGCCATCATAGAGGACATTCTGGTTTTCTGCTACTCCGGTCTCTGTCCTCTGTTGATATGAAACTGGACGCCTTGATGTATTTTCTCTTGAAGAGAAAAACAGAGGACATAAAGGCGTCCGGTTTCATATCAATAGAGGACAGAGGACAACGGGACTGTTTTCTATGATGGCCACCCTGATAAGGTGGTATGCAGGGGGGGTGAGGGGCTCAGATTCTAACTACACGTTTTGCATTCATTAGTAACTGAGGGCCAAATTCTGCATCTTTCCTTAGGCAGGTCTCCTCCTGACTGACACCACCTTGTTCAAATGTTTACACTACTCTGAGCCCTGTGATACACCGGCCCAATTCTGCAATACCACAATGAACAATAGTTCAGTGATACTGGCCTTTTGTCATCCAAAGGTAGTGGGGTCAGACTCTGATCTGACTGGGGAACTTCCTACTCACGTCATTGATTGCAGTCGGGCCAGGATTGTGCACCTATCGCTAAAATATCAATCTGCTTAAACTCTTCCTCCATACTTTAAATACCCATTATAAAAACCAAAACAAATGGTCTGGATGAGATGATAAACACCCATGATCTTACTGCTTGCCGTGGGAATGAAGTGGGGTGAGCCTTTAGCAAATCTGAACACAAGGCTTTGTGTTTCTTATTAATCATTAAAGCCAGGTTTTAAAGGTATTTAGATGTGTAAAGTTGCGGATAGATGCCTCAGGATTTTCCCAGGCATCTAAGCACCTAAAGCCCTTTGAAATCTAAGCAAGGCCACTGCTTAAAGCTCTGTTTAATGCCTAGGTGCTTAAATACCTTCAAAATGTGGCCCTTAGTATCTTCACCCCAGATGTGTTCTTGACCCTTGGTCTCCAACGTAGGATGCATGATGATGAAAAGCGCTACACTGAAAGCGGTGGAGACTCCCTAGATACCAGATTCTGATCTCACTTGCACGGGTGTGAGTCAGGACTAAGTCAGATGAAGACAATGGCCTCACACCAGCATAAAGCTGTTGTCGAATTAGTAGCAAGCCCTATCATGAGTAAGCATGGCAGGAACAGCCCAGGCAGCAGCAAAGCAAAAGGTCCCCAAACTGCCCCAAGCTGTAGGTGAGCAGAGGACAAGAGCGTCTTCACTGCTAAGCTCCACCAGCTTAGTTCACATAGGCTGGATATCAAATGCATCCCTGAACGATCCAGCTGGCTTTGCAATTGGTGACCTGCCTAGTGGGTGTGTGTTGCACACTGACTTCCTCTGCTGCTTATAGTTAAAAGAAATGTCCTCAGTGTTTCCAGCCCTCCAGGGATGAATTCAGAGCCTGGAGTGTCAGCCATGGTATTAATTTGTTTTTCAAGACTCTCCAGCCCAGACAGGCCCATGTTCGTGGTGTTACTGACCTCCAATCATTACAAAACATATTATGGTGACTCATGAATGAGCCCCAGACTAGAGGGATCAATAAGCTTTTGAAGGGTTCTCATGGCTTATTTATTGAGGAGGCGAGGAATCAATCCCTATTAAGCTGTGACACAGTACGGATGGAAGGGGCAAGGTTCTCAGCTTCAGGCTCTATTAGAAACATACCCGCCATTCAGTGATGTGCTCCTCTAGTTCTGTGCTGGTGCTGTGCCCTTGAAATCAGCACATTTACCCCAGTGTGGCACTGGTGCGATGCCACATTCATAAACTGAAGAAGGTCCCAGCTCTGTTTTTTTTTTCCTTTTTTTTTTTTTTCTTTTAACAAATGTCTGGTGCTGGAATTTCCTTTTTTTTTTTTTTTTTTTAACAAATTCCTGTAGCTGGAATTCCCTTTTTTTTTTTTTTTTTTTGGCATAGATTTTAGGGCACCGGGAAACAATGAAGCCGATGAGATTGAAGGGCTTTCCACTTGCCACTGTACAACTTTATCAGCTTTATCAGAAATCAGAAGATAATCGGTGTCTATGAACAATGAGTATAGCCATAATTGCACAAGTCATTTTACCACTGGGGAAATCACCTACCACAGCTGTGTTGAGTGAGTCATTTGGGAAGCAGGGTGCTGTCTGTATGCACTGGGTTATCTTTTAGCCCACAATAAGAAACCATCTGGGAACACACTGTCCTGCAGTCACAGACTGATGGGGTAACAGCACTAACACATGCTACATGAAGTATGCCCAACAGGTGGAAAGGGACCTGTTAGATGTGGCACCCGAGGCTGTGTCCATCAGTTGCCCAGCAGTGTAATTTGCATTCTGCGGCTCCATGCAACCGTTGCAACATTTGCATCTTTATGCTTCACCTTCCCTCTCCGCGCCTCAGTTTCCTTACTTGTTAACGCCTTGTTTGGCATTATGAATTCATGTCTGTAAGATCATGGGCGAATGGCGCCTCCTGATTCAGGGGGAACACCAGCTGCTGATCACCAACCGGGGAGGGGGTCCTCCAGCAGCTGAAAGATTCTTTGAAGTCTGCTGAAGAGAAGCGATCTGTCTGCCTGTCTGTCTATTTATCTATTTCTTTCTCTCTCTCTCTCTACCTGCTTACTGCTTTCATCCAACCCTAGATGACAAATTCTACACCAATACAGGCGATTGTAAGCCCCATGAGAACATTTATGTCTAAGAACAATGGAGTCTTGATTCCTTTACTACGAACAAGCGACAATTTTATTATCTTTACAAATCCACTGGTTTAATGCAGGGCCACTGTGAACTCAGCAGATTTCCTCTGACTCTCTTTCTGCATTGTAATTATCAGCCTTGGGAGCCCAAAGACCTTTCCTCCCTGTCCTGACTGTGTCCCAGGTGCTGCTGTGAAACCCTTCTACTAAAAACTTGTTTTTTACTCTCCTCAAAAGCCCTCCTTGACTTATCCTTCAGCACATGGGTCTCAAAATGTCTCTTGTTCCAGTTAGGAATTCATGACCCTGTGTTGTAGTCACGGTGATTTATTTGCCTGGAAGAGGGAATCCTCCCCCTCCCTTCAAGAAGGTAGGTCTGGCTAATTGGTGTCTGTTGTTGTGCCTCTTCCTAGGCCTGTGAGAAGGACCTGCAGTGTGGGCCTGGGACATGCTGTGCGATCAGCCTGTGGCTTCGAGGGCTGAGGATGTGCACGCCCCTGGGGCAGGAAGGGGATGAATGCCACCCGTTCAGTCACAAGGTATGGTCGAGCAGCCCGAACCCCTCCAGGCCCTCTCCCTAAGCAACAGCCCAAGCCGATTGTTTTCCTGACTGTTGCATCTGTACTGTCCCAGTTCAACTTCTCTTGCAAAAGGAAATGGCCCACCCTGTTCTCCTAGACAAAATGATTCACTTGCTAATCAGATCTCATCCTTTGACAAGAGGAGAGCCTCCTGAGGCTGGGATCCATTATGCTGTCAAGCAGTGGGCATGTGGCTTGAGTAGGACAGCACTGAGCTGGGATTCAAGAGATCTGGGTTATGGACTCATCTCTGCAACAGACTCCATGTGTGGCCCATATTGTGTGCTGGCTCTGTGCCGCAGTATCCCTCCTAGAACTGCCCCAGCCCCCAGAACTGGAAAGAGAATTTCAGTCCTCCACCCAATGTCCTCTAGTACAAGTGTTACAAGCTCTACCTCAAAAGGTAAATAGGCACATAACACCCATTGCTTTCAAAAGGGAGATTGGTACCTAAACACCTTTGGGATCATTAGGCTCTCTTAGTCAGGCCCTCAAACAACACTTTAAAACACCAGCCTGTCCAAGCTGCCACTAAATAATTGCTGTTGGACTGAGAATGCCACGTGTCCACCACTAACCCTGTTTCACTGCGCTGGGGGGCTGACCTGTATGCTCAGTTGGTCTCTTGGCACTTCCGACTGAAGCCTAAATACGTAACCAAGCAGATGTTAAGATAACATCTCTGAATCTGCAAAGCTCTGAGATTCTTGTCCAGCAAGAAACACAAAGGAAGGAGGATTAGTCCAAAGTGACGATTTGCTGCTGTGCCTTTGGCCATGAGTATTTAGCACCAGTCACTGAGGAGGCTGCTAATAGGTACTCAGCTATTGATTTCATGTGGCAGGAGCGAGACTCACTAAATAATACAGTGCTTTCCACCCTGGCTCAAACTGCAGGAGACTGAAGAGTCTCCGAGGGATCAGAATTTCATTTCAGACAAGTCTATGGTGAAACTGTCAAGCTCAGGAAATAAAGATAAATTTCTAGGACTTCAATTTCATTTGGGATTTTTCTGCAAAGCGGGGAGATAAGCAAATACTTGCAACTCAGTCTCCTCATTTACTGCCAAGAAGAAGAGGAGACAAGGGGAGAAAACAGAGAAGTGAGGAAAGGGAGCTGTACATACACTGAAGAGCTCAGGTCCTTTCCATCATTGCCTGCTCTAATATTAACTCCAGGCACCCCTAATTTAAATCAGTTTTCAGTTGGAATGGATAATGGCTAACCTATTGTTACTGGTACCCAAATTTGATCCCTTTTGTCACAAGGACCTAATTATGATGCGCTTTATGCAGGCTGTAATTAAGTCTCCTTGGGTGCATCTACACAAGATGCTTAATGCGCATTAGCGTGTCATGCAAAAAGCATGCTGATGTACTAATGCGCAGCAGACTTAGTTTAATGTGCATTAAGCATCACAAAAAAATGTTTATCTGTGCTGATGCACAGTGGTGCCAATTACTGTGTATGAAGTTAGCACCTTAATGTGCCGTAAATACGGTGCATTAATGAACATGTAGATGTCCCCTGTGAGCAAAGTGGTTTGACTGGAGATAGGAAGGGCAAACCAAGGCACAGGGGTTAGGGCTGAGGTGGGCAAAATGATGGCCCGTGGGCTGGATGTGGCCCACCAGGCCATTCTATAGTGTGACAATATGGAGAAGCTGATGCTGCCCATCTCTGGCTTTCTCTTGGGGCCAAAGTCCTAATATTCTGCATGTTTCTCGGTTTCTTCCACTTTCTGTTTTAGATCCCTTTCTTTGGAAAGCGTCAACACCACGCCTGCCCGTGCCTTCCAAACTTTATATGCTCCAAGTTCACTGATGGCCGATACCGGTGTTCAATCGACTTCAAGAACATAGACTTTTAACAAACAGGACAGCGCCACCGAGATATTTGCATCTGGAGAACTGTGCAGCACTTCTCACTGAAATAAGTAACCTCTCCAGCCCACCTTCCTTCCTGCCTCTTTCAGTTTTATTTCCTTTTACTGACACTATGTATTGTACGTCATGATTGTCAAGACAAAATAAGGGCAAGGGGAGATTTTCAAAGGCACAAACAATTCCTCAGTAGATCCCCAAGCAATTTTACAAGGACATCCCAGAGAACTTGCACAGAGACCAAGTCATTCGACACAATTCAGTGGGACCTTGCTAGAGCCAGGGATAGAGCCTAGTCCCCCGAGTTAACTAGGTTACACTGTTCCCTGCATGTCTATGTATGCACCTAACTCCCATTGACTTCTGAGGACCATGGCACCTACTTGCCATTTGTGGCTTTGGAAAATTCCCCAGTGTCTTCCTGCATGTAATATAAGGGACATTGTCACCATATTTTAGACCCCCAATCTATTTTTAGTAGTACAAAGAAGGGATTCAGGATGTAAAAAAAATAGGGTGTGATGTATAATCCTGCCTCACGTTGCTGTGTCTGCTCACAAATAGCCTCCGCTGTTGTTCTTAACTCACCCAACTCCTAGTTAACATTGTTTTTATTCCTGCAGCACCTGAGACAGGAAGCAGAGCCTGCTGTAAGCTGCCATCTGCCTCTCAGCTGCCTCCTGCTGTTCAGTGTTTCGCCTCCTAAATGGAGCAGAGCTTTTGGGTGCTGTAGCTGATTGTGCGTCCTTATACCCCAATGCCAGCTGCACCACACTGTCCTGTTGCAGGAAGTGTATCCATCCACCTGACTAGATGAGTACCGGCAGGCAAATTTGACCCGTTGTATGTCAAGCACAGAGTTATGCTAATGCACCAAAATCAGAGAAATGAAGCTGACAAAACAACCAGCGTATTCTCGATGTTTAAATAGTAGCACAGCTTCTGACAGTGATTAGACACATAGCTATTAAAAATCCTGTGCGCAGCCAGACAGAAAAATTGATAGACTCGCGTTCCATTGGGATACGCATTTCCATGACAGTCAAAGTGCTTTGGGAATCAGCCTGATTTCATCAGACTTTCATTTGGGAAGAAATCAGGAGAGGGGGAAATTCTGACAAAATCAAATGTCATTTCCACACTTTATGAAACAGAGCATGGGCATGTTTTTATTCTGGCATGACTTTTGAAGCTTAATTTTGTGTTCAGGGCATCAGAGGTGAAAGGGTCCCCAAGCCCCTGCACAGATGCTACTTCTGAACCCAGACAAATACATACCTATCCAGCCCTGCTTCAAACAGTACATTTTACAGTTTCTATGGCTTTCTATAGCAAATTGTTCCACTGTCCTGCTGTTCTGACAGCAAGGAAGTTCTCCGTGACATTTAAACCGAATCTGCCTTATTGCAGGTTAAACCCACTGCTTCGTGTCCAGCTCTGCATGGCAGGGAAAACTGTTGTGCTCTCTCATCTCTATGGGAGCCTTTCCAGTAATTGAAAAGGGCTATTGTATGTCCCCCTTCCTCCAAATAAAAACACTTAGCACTCTCATTCATTCCCTGTATATCTTGCATCCCAAACCCTTTATCATTCATGTTACACGCCTCTCCAGGCTCTCTCTGTTCTTCTCAACAGATACCAAACCTGCACACAGTACGTTAGCTGATGCCCGACCAGTGTCATCTGCCAATTTGATTAGAAAGCTCTTCATCCTGGTCACCATATCATTAATAAAAAGGTTAACCAGTACTGGACCCTCGGTGGACCCCTGTGAAACGCCATGTGAAACCTCTTGCCATTCCGACATTGATCCACTTAAACCTAATCTCAGCTTGTGGTTACGCCACCAATTGTGTGTCCACCCCTTCAAAAATTCTGTCTCGCCCACACGTCTCCATTTCATTAGGACACTGTCACATGGGACTGTCTTGAAAGCCTTCAAGTCCTAGTATAGTACTTCATCCACCTGACTAATTATCTTGTCAAAGGATATCAATTTGGTTTGGCATGATTTGTTTTTTAAAAATCCGTATTGGCAGCTAGTGATCACCCCTTCCTCCTCCAGCTGTTCACGAATGGATCATTTTATCATTTGCTTCAGTAACCTCCAAGGTATAGAAGGCGGGCTGATGGGTTCATAATTCTCTGGGTCTTCTTTTTCTCTGTCAGTCCTTGCCTTATCATCTGGGACCTTGCCTGCCATCCGTGACTTTGCAAACATTATTGCCAGTCACTCAGAGCTTTTTTAACCAGCTCCTCTAGTACCTTGGGATGAATTTTTCCTGGCCCTGCCAACTTCAGTGCATTCAAATTTATCACAGGCTTTCTGTAAGGCAAAGTTAGAAAGAAATATAAACACTTGAAATGGATCACTTTGATCCATCCAAAGCAGATCACTGGATCTCTTTGATCCATCACTTTGGGCATGTCTACATGTTGCCCTATGGCAATGTTGTTATTGTGCTGTGCTTTAGTACTTCCCTTTGGACTCTGATACATGAGACACAGCGGTGCTTTAATTACAGCAGCTCTTGGAGCCACTCTAATTAAAGTGCTGCCCTCTCCTCCTCCGGAGCAGGTGTAAAAGTGCCCGCAGTGGGTGTGTCTACACATGCATTAATGCTCTTTTGTTAATGCACATTAAATCTGGTACCTCCATTGTGAGGTACTAGGAAAATGCGCATTAGCCTGTCTTAATGCTCATTAACTAAAAAGAATGATTCTTAAGTGACACTTAATGTGTATTAGCTTATTTAAATGTGCCTTAACTAAATGGCATGGTTTTTTAATGATGCGTTAATGTGCATTAAAATAGGCTAATGAGCATTAAAGCCCATGTCTAGGTGTGTCCAGTATGGTGCATCTGTCTGAACCCTAGATCCCCTATAATTACAATAGCATGGGCAGATCTTATATTTGTCTGTCAAGCTTGTTCCAGGAAGAAAGCAGGATATTTAACATAATGGGTTTTAGGTGTGTGATAAAAGTTACCTTTTGGAAGAAGATCTCAGCTTGAGAAACTTCCTCCATGCTCCCTTTTCAAAGAAGCTGTTCAAAAGATTTAAACGCTCTTTTCAAAGGTTTGATCTTAACTTCTGCTTCAAGAAAACAAACTGAAGTGTGTAGTAGTGTGTTGAGTTTAATTGTCGCAGTTCTTGCAAAATGTATGCTTGTCTTTATTCAGAAAGGATGAATGCTAAAATGCAAATATTGCTTTTGAAATTCACAGACACATTTGTTCACTGGAAATTAAAATTCTACTTGTATGTGACTGATAATTAGTAAGATGTATGTGAGAAAATTGGACACATGACTGTATTATTGTAAGTGTACTTCATTGTAAGGGGATTTTTTTTTTGTGTATCATTTTTTATGGAGTACAGCTCAACACTATATTATATTCCAGTAACAACCCAAGGGCTCAGCTGATACCAGGGTTTCACAGAAGACGACACTGTCCTGGCTGCCTGTAATGTAGAATTAGGGTTAGGTGAAGTTCTCTGCTCCTGACCCCCCATCTATTTTTTTCCCCAGTGAAAACTGCAGATTTCTTACTCAAAGTTTCTTTATGAATTTCACTACCAAACTTCAAGTTGGCCAATTTTGAGACTTTGGGGTGAAATGACATTAAAGCCCAAAGGAAAGCGTGAGATATTTTTTTTAAGTATAAACTTAAACTAGATCCATAACGAATTTCTAAATGCTGAATTTCCCAAAACATTTTAATAAAGCTTTTCATTCTCAACTGGGACATTTTTTCCCCTGCACAATTAGTAGTACCCTAAACTCTCCTCCCCCAGCAAGAAACACCCTCAAAAACACGTTCTTGTCTCATTCTATTTATATTCTAAAAAAAAAAAACAAAGACAAGAGGTGGGGAAAAGTATTTCTGGTTTATCTAGAGCATCAGTTGAGGGGCTAAGACAGGGTGGGCAAAAGATGGGCTGCGGGCCAGATGTAGCCTGCCAGCTAAATGTACCCAGGCTGCAGGTACGGGGAGCCAGTAGCTCCAGCTGCTGCCAGGTGGACAGGCACATCCTGGCCCCATCGTCAGCTTACACCAGCTTCTGGCACGTGCCTGCTGCATCCAGCCGCGCAGGTGGGCATATCCCAGCTGCAGCCGCAACTTATACCAGCTCCTGCTGTGTGCACCAGAAGCAGCACTGGCCAGGTGCCAGCATCAACTACGAATGCTGCGGGCAAGTTCCCAGTGGGGATCAGGGCAACTGCCCAGGACCGCGGCTGATGCACTGATGCAGAAGCAGCAGCTGTGGACCCAGACAAACCCCCCAGTCTCCACTCAGAACCTGACCCAGCCCATGACAGCTCCGCAAAGCTCCCCGTGTGGCCCCCAGACCCAAATAATTGCCCCGCCTGGGCTAAGCTGTTGATTTTCTAAGTCTTGTTTTGCAGGCTACAACATAATGGGTGTTACACCAGGTGAGTGAGCTAATGATGTTGTTTCTTATGTTACTTTTCCATGTGAGCCTAGTTCATTGTTGGAACATAATAAAATATTACCGGCATGACTCCCTTCATGAATTGTGCATAGGGTTTGAACTGGAGATCATCATTTGAGCTAAAGGAACCACATGAGTAGCCAGTAGTAGTAAAACTATTATCCACAGCCACAGAGTTGGGGCATGGCATTTTTAAGGCTAAATTCCCTGCTGATTTAAATGGATGCAACCTCATCGACTTTACCGACTATTCCAGCAGAGAATTTAAAGCAGAAATAATTCAGACTGGGAGTGTCTACACAAGATGCTTTGCTGCGCAGTAAAGTGTCACCATCTACACATGCGCAAAACTTACTGCACATTAAATTAGTCTAATGTGCTGTTTGCTAGTACCAACACATACAGGTACTAGATAAATGGCTCATTAGCTAATGCCCCATACACATGTGTAGACGTGGACTGGCAATTTGCTGCTAGCCAGCCCAGGCAGAAGGGGGCCTGCTGGAGAGAGCTGTGCCAGCTGAAGGGGCAGTTGTCTCCTAGCCACATGGGGATCAGGACAGGTCCCGATCCCCACGTGGGCAGGATAGCTATGCCAGCTGCAGGGACATCTGTCTTCCCACCACATGGGGTTTGAAATGGGTCCTGATCCCCACATGGCTGGGATACAGCTGCTCCTGCAGCCAACACAGCTCTCCCCACCCAGTGGGGATTACAACCATGCCCCTTGCCAGCCCCTGGAGCTGGCACCTAGGGGAGCCTGGAACTCCTCCTGGCTG